GAGCTCCAGTGACCACGTTGAGAATCGGGGAGAGGGGTTCCAGGAGCTGCTGGTGTCTGCTGTGGGCCGAAGGGGAGACGGGCCCCGAGCCGTGAACGCAGGCCCTGAGTAAGTCACTTAGCTTTTCCATGTACTGATCTTGTCGTAAAATGGCGATGATGTGTCCCTTGCAGGGTAGTTTTAAGACTTGTGCAATACGGGGTGTGTCAAAGCGTTATAGGACAAAAAAAACCAAAAAAATACTTTGGCCATGTCACTGTTTGACCCATGTGGGTCACAGTCCTTCTGAGAAAGTCAGCAGGAGTCTCAGGAGCCCAGGCCCTGTGTGATTTTTCAAATTGCACAAAACTTCCCCTCAGAGGCCCAGGGTGAGTAACAGGGCAGAGGAGCAGGACATGGAATCCGTACTTTGTGGTCATTCCCTTGCGCTCAGGGCCATCCTCCTGGCTTGTGTGCAGCAGCTGGCCGTGGCGAGTCGAGGGCTAGGAAAGCTGACTCGGGTTTTTACACATTGAACTGTCTCTCTGGGACTGAAAGCCATGAGGCTGAGGCTAGGAGATGACCAATAATAGAGTAATTGCCCTCCCTCCCTCCCTCCCCCCAGCTCACATCCTTCCTGTCCAGCCCTCAGCCACAGGTCACAGGACCCGGCAGAGACTCCCGTGTGGTTTCTTCGCTGAGATGTGCCACTGCCTCTCCCTCCCCCTGCCCCTTGGGCTGAGGTTTTGGTGTTGGCCTAGTGAGCGTGGATGTGTCCTTTGGGGAGGATGAAATGCTCAATGGCGCCTGCAGAACCCACAGCAGGAAAAAGAGGCTGGGGGAAGTCCTCAAGTCTGTCTGCTGTTGTCTCTTCTTTCTCCCCTTCTTCATTCTCTCCTTTGCCTCCTTCTCTTTTCTTCCTTCCTCCCTTCTTTGATGTTTAAAATTAGTTTGAAAAACAGAGTTACACAGAGAGAGAGAGATTGCTTTCATCCGCTGATTCACTGTCCCTAGGGCCACAGTGACCAGAGTTGGGCCAGTCCAAAGCTGGGAGCATCTTTCTGGTCTCCCATGGAGGTGCAGGGGCTCAAGCACTTGGGCCATCCCCCCATGGCTTTCCCAGCTTATTAGCAGGGAGCTGGATAGGAAGTGAAGCAGCAAGGACATGAACTGGTGCCCGTATAGGATCCTAATGCTTGAAGGGACCTGAGCTGGCACGCTGCTGTGGGATGCTGGTGTTACAAATGGGGGCTTAACTCACTGTGTTACATTGCCATCTTCAAATCCCCAGTTTGTAATTCCTGTAAGTTCCATCACACTTACAACCTTCCCCTTTCTTTGAGTGAGAGAAAAAGGGAAAGGCAAGCGAAGCCTGGGTCCAGAGAAGATTTAAGTTTCTTGCCATAGGGGGCTCCTTTCCAGGCCCTGTCCTACCTCCTAGAGGCCTCACCCTTCCCCGCTCTGAGCACCAGGGGGTCCCTGGTGTGCTGACCCCCATGGGTACCCTCTGTCTCCTCAGCGGCCCTGGGAGAACCCCAGCTCTGCTACATCCTGGATGCCATCCTATTTTTGTATGGTATTGTCCTCACTCTGCTCTACTGTCGGCTCAAGGTAAGGCAGGACGGGCTGAGGGCTACAAGGGCTGGGGGTGGCAGTAGCGATGTGGGTTTGAGAAAGGGGAAGAAAAGGGGCTCCCCTATGAAATATGGAAGGAAGAGGGCTAAGCCAATAGCTTCCCCATTACTGATTAGTTTTCTTCTATTCCAGATCCAGGTGCGCAAGGCCGCCATAGCCAGCTATGAGGTATGGACCTTCCCATGGCCTCAGACTCAGTCCTCCTGGGACTCTAGTCCCAAACCCAAGACGCAGGCGTGCGTCTCAGGTCTTGCCATCTCACACTGCCACCCTGCCATATAGCCAAGCCATGGTTAAACATTTGGCAAATGACAGAGAAGAACCAAGCATGGGATCATGGATGAGTGTGTTTGTAGTCAGGTGGGCGGAGGTGTATTCATGACCTAGTGTGGCCTGGAAGTCCAGCTCCCCTGGGCACACACTGCCCTGGGTAGGAACGGCGGGAGGCTGAGGGACCCTGAAGCAGGTGTCTCTAACACCATGTGCCTTTTGTTTTTGCAGAAATCTGAGGCCGTTTACACAGTAAGTGAACCTGCCTTCTTCTCTTGGGAAGTCAGCAGACGAGGGTGATCTTTGGAAGGGGCAAGGGCTATGGGAGTGGATGGGCTTCATTCCTGATGGTCCTTCACTTCCACCTCCAGGGCCTCAGCACCCGGACCCAGGAGACATATGAGACTCTGAAGCATGAGAAACCAGCACAGTAGCTTTGGAACAGTTGCCTTTGGTTATGGCCTTCTTCAGCTTCTAGTTCCCCTCACAGCCCTCGTGGTTGGTCCCGCATATGCCTCCATCCTGACTATGCCAGCTGGCCCTACTCTGTAACCATGCTGAGCCCAAATTAATGTACCTCAGTGGTTTCTCTTCCCTGTCAAAGACTCAGACTCTGCTTGGTGATGTTGATAATCTAGTCTCACTTCTTTGCCCCAACCCTTCTTTCCCAATCCCCAGCACGGGCTAACTAATGGCAAGGGAGTGTACCCAATAAAGCTGCCACAGACTTGGCTATATTCATTCATGTATCATGTAGCTATGCGGCCTTGACTAAGCACTAGGCTTGATTCAGAACAGAGACAGTCTTGAGTAAGGCAAGCTGAGCTGCTGACCTCACAGATCTCACCGTCTAATAGATTTCAGAAGGGCTATTTTGTTCAACTGAGGGATGAATGCAGGGTTTGGCAAGAGGATGAAATCTGTGATCACGAGCTGTTCTGGGTCAGAGCTGGAGCAGGGAAACTAGAAGCATGTACAGACCTTAAGATCTAAGATACGATTTCTACACCCAGCATGACATTCTGCATGTCATAACTGAACCTAGGTTGGACTGTGGGTAGTCTACTCAACCCCCCATAGTCACCAATACAAATAGACCCAATCTTGTGTGTGTAGAAGAAATACTGTGAACAGGGCTGTGTGAAGCTCCTTGGAACATTGTTGTTGTTGTTTTTTCAAGTGCACAAGGATGGTTTATTCAAGCTCAGCACATCTGAGCCTGGGGTCTTTGTTGAGAGCAGGCAGCTGGCCAACGGACAGGCCAGCCAGCTGGCTGGCACCAACACCCTTTACCAGAGTTTGGCCCCGAACAGCACATTCATAGGGTTTTTATAGGGGCAGTCCACAGTAGCTTGAAAAGGGGAAATTCACACTAGCCTGCAAAGTGAGGGGAAAAACCACACATTCCCTATCTATCTCGGCTGGCCAGCCCATGCCTCCAGCAACCAAAGTAAGCACCCACTTAATTACTTGGAGCCACCTGTGAGATAACCAGACTTAGGTGGGCCTTGATTTGTAAGAATTGGGACCCATCAGTGCTAAAGGTCACATAGGCCATTTAGCCTGCAAACTCACACAGTCTCTTAACAGCAATGAGCCATGAGCAAATAGTTGGGATTTTGACACTGAGGTTCTTCATTCCCCCATGTTATTGTTGTTTTAAGATTTATTTATTTTGGGGCCCGGTGTGGTGGCCTAGCGGCTAAAGTCCTCACCTTGAATATGCCGGGATCCCATATGGATGCCGGTTCTAATCCCAACAGCCCCACTTCCCATCCAGCTCCCTGCTTGTGGCCTGAGAAGGCAATGGAGGACGGCCCAAAGCCTTGGGACCCTGCACCCGCGTGGGACCCTGCAGGAAGTTCTTGGCTCCTGGCTTCAGATCACCACAGCACTGGCCGTTGTGGTCACTTGGGGAGTGAGTCATCGGAGGGAAGATCTTTCTCTCTGTCTCTCCTCCTCTCTCTCTATATATGACTTTGCAACAAAAATAAATAAATCTTAAAGTAAGATTTATTTACTTTTATTGGAAAGGCAGATTTACTGAGAGCAAGAGAGACAGAGAAAGATCTTCCATTCACTGGTTCACGCCCCAAATTGTTGCCAAGGCCAGAGCTGAGCTGATCTGAAGCTAGGAGCTACTTTCACAGGCCACAAGCAGGGAGCTGAATGGGAAGTGCAGCAGCCAGGACGTGAGCCAGAGCCCGTATGAGATGCTGGCACTTGCAGGCAGACAAGTACCAACTAAACCATCCCACCAGCCCTTTCTTGGAAAGTTTTAAGGGAAAACTGAATTTTCTTTCTTTTTTTCAAATTTTCTACAAAGTTTCTGTTCCTTACTTATAGGAGTCCTTTTTCTTTTCTTTTCTTTTCTTTTTTTTAAGATTTATTTTTATTGGAAAGGCAGATATACACAGAGAGGAGGAGACAGAGAGGAAGATCTTCCATCTGATGGTTTACTCCACAGGCAGCCATAGTGACTGGAGCTGAGCCGGTCTGAAGCTAGGGGCCAGGAGCTTCTTCCAGGTTTCCACATGGGTACAGGGTCCCAAAGCTTTGGACAGTTCTCGACTGCATTCCCAGGCCACAGGCAGGGAGCTAGATGGGAAGTGGCGCTGCGGGATTAGAACCAGCGCCCATATGGGATTTTGGGCGTGTTCAAGGCAAGAACTTTAACTGCTACGCTTGTGCTGGGCCTAGAAAACTGAAATTTCAGTGAGTTCTGAGGCAAGATGGACCTTAGAGTGCCAGGTGGGGTTTAGAAAGAGAAGGAAAGACAGAGAGAAAGATCTTCCATCCCCTGCTTTACTTCTCAAACGGCTGCAATGTATGCAGCTGAGCTAATCTTAAGCCAGGAGCCAGGAGCTCCTTCTGGATCTCCCATGTGGACACAGGATCCCAAGCCTTTGGGCCATCCTCTACTGCTTTCCCAGGCCAAAAGCAGGGAGCTGGAAAGGAAGGGGAACAGCTGGGACATGAATTGGTGCCCATATGGGATGCTGGCACTTGAAGAGGGAAGATTAGCCAATTGAGCCATGGTGCAGTCCCCTCCTTTCTCTTACTTCTCCCCCACTACCCTACTTCTCACAGTCCCCTAAGCACACCACACTCACAGCTTGACTCCTTAATCATTTATTGTAGGAAACATGGATAGGTAAGGAGGGGAGGCAGGTGCAGGGACTGGGCAGTGGACGTTCAAGGGGCCAACTGGAGTTGGAAGACAATGATGTGGACCCCTCATTGGGCAGTGGGCTGCTTCTTGAGGTTCATGAGATTGTTGAAGAAATTGACGAGGTCAGTTCCGGCCTTCTTGATCAAGGGCGTCAGCTGCTCCTGTGTCTTTTCAAAGTAAGCCCTGGATGGGGAAAGGTTAACAGGTGACCTGCGGGCATCCTAGGCACTGTCAAGGTCATTTTGTTGGTGGAAAGTCAGAGCAGACTGAACCACATGCCCAGATCCTTGAGCCTGGTCCATCCTGGCATGGCAAACACCAAGGAGGAGAGGCAAGCCCTCGGGACAGGCCCCAGAGATGCCAGTTCCCACTACCACTATCTGTCCGGAAGGTGCATGAGATCTTTGGGTGATAAAGAAATTTATCTGTGCAATGTAAGTTTAATTCTCCCTAACCCACATCCTTCTGTTCAGTTCCTGCAGGAACTTCCAGCTCCCCCCACCCACGCACCTTTTTCTTTTTCTGCATCCTCAGCCCCACAGCCCTGGAACTCCCTTCCGCAAAGACTTACTTGGTCTGGGTCTGAAGCTCTGGGCTCTTGGCCTTTTCCATGAGGTCCTTGCCAAAGCCGGCGAAGGTCTCCAGGTACTGAGAGAACAGGCTCTGCAGATCCGGCTCCCTTGCCTGTCTTCGAACCAAAGCCCCTGTGCAAGAGCATGCACACACACACACACACACACACACACACACACACACACACAATTTCAGCTGGGTTCTTGAATCGTGGCCTCCTGTTACCAACCCCAGCTCTCAGCCTCCTCCCCAAGTTGGCTTCCAGCTGCTTCTGTGGGTGGGTTTTCTGGGAACCCCAGGCTGAGGAGCTGAGGCAGAGGGGGAGCCACGACTGCCAGCACCTGCTCCCTGGTGCCCCTCCCTGGGTCACACCCACCTTCAAGGCTACAGATGGTGAGCAACAGCACAGTCGCTGCTAGCAGCTTCATGGTGGTGATGGTGCAGAGATGGTCTAGAAGCAGTCTGAAGACAAAAGGGACACGGAGGCCAAAGGACTCAGCCCCTCCTCCAGATCTTGTCCCCAGTGCCTACCCGGTTGCTTCCATTGCTACAATTTCAGCCCAGTCTTCTCTGGATGCTGGTCCCTTACCTTACTTCACACCGCTGGATGTCCGTTGCTGTCAGCGCCCCGGCTGGCAGGAGAAGCACGGGGTTATATGCCTGAGGCTTCTCCCACCCCCTATCAGGTGACAGACATTGTATGGAGACTCATGGGGTGGGACCATGTTGGAGTAGATAAGTTGGAGCAATGGGGGAGGAAGGGCAAACGCAGGTTTGGGAGGGGGGCTACGGCGATGTGGGGGGAGGCAGGGAGTACAGTCCTTACTGGAGGCCCAACACTGTGTCCCAGGTCTGTCTGAGATCCAGTCTTGTGGAGTTTGGAGCTAGCGGGCGGTCTTTGGAGTTGATAACAGTGGCCAGCAGCATCCCCCCACTGTTTCTCTGAGGCCTCTGACCTTAAGCCATTACCCCTTGACAACTTTAGTCCATGAGGGGTGTTAGTCGCCTTCAGTGCCACATGACAGAGAAGAATCAGGGAACAAAGGGAAGGAGTTAAAATCAGGGTGCAGCTTTCCTCTCTCCTTTTAGGAGGTATCCCTTCTACACCCCTCCCTGGTGGTGCTTTCCCGTTTCTACTTCTTTTCCCATTTGCCTGTTCACTTTGCAAATAAAACCTTCCTGGGGTAAAATAGAGGGGTGGAGGGAGTAAACCTAGTGCATTGGCTCCATTGGCTAGTCTTCCCTCTAAGCATCAGACCCCATATTGGCACCGGGTCTCCTGGCTACATGCTCCCTGCTTGTGGCCTGGGAAAGCAACAGAGGACAGTCCAAAGCCTTGGGACCGTGCACCAGAAGAAGCTCTTGGTTTCTGGCTTCAGATAGGCTCAGCCTCAGATAGACCACAAGGGCCACTTTGGGGAGTGGACCAGCAGATGCGAGGTCTTTGTCTCTTCTTCTCTCTTTAAATCTCCCTTTCCAATAAAAATTAGTAAATTAAAAAAAAAAAAAATCAGGGTGGGGAAGTGGAAAATGGGTACCAAGGGGCATGAGGGCCAGGGTCAGAGGGCAGCTGTGAGTGGCCGTGTCCCTGTCCCAGTTAATGTGTAATGAGGGGATATGGGTGGGGGTGGGGTGGAACCAGAGCCCTGATCAATGTGAATACCCTACTCTCAACTAAGCCAGTTCTGGAAAAACAGCCCCTGCTGTCCCCTCTCTGCTGGACGGTCCTATGAAAGAGGCAAGTAGGAAGCTTCCACCAGGATAAAGGTTGAAGGTTTTCTGGTCATCTGGTCACCTTATCTGTAGCTAGTCAACACTGAGTCAGCAGGAGCATCCTCAGCCCTCCAGCTAAGACCCTGGCCTGGATTTGAGGGAGGGCAGAGGTTTATCCCAGCTCAAAGCACCAGGGTGAAATCAGCTAAAGAGATAACAGAAGTATTTGTGCCTTCACCCTTTTGACCTCAGAACCCATTCCTATAGATCTGGCACACTCCAGGGAGACCTTGGGGGAGGTGTGGGAGCTAGGAGAGAGGGGAGTGAGCAGAGACCCCCAAATCTTACTCCGACTCCTGCTGTTCCTCTGTGGAGACTGGGGAACTGGAAGCTCACGCCACTGGCTTGTCCTAGCCCTGCGGTGGAGAGAGCCTTGGGGTGGAGGCCCATTCTTAGATTTTTGTGGCCAACGCTTTCTGCGGACTCAAAGCGGGAAGGGTTAAAATGAGAGTAGCCATTGCAGGAAATAATTGCTCCCGGTTTCACAGTAACTGCTTGTTCTAGAGGGCCAACTTTGATAGGCTTTGGACTGTCCAGAAGGGAGGTGTAGGTCCGTGCCCGGGGAGAGGGCCGAGCTTGGGTAGTACTCATCTCGTGAAGAGAACTATGGGGCCCCACGGGAAGCTGGGGGAGCCCTAAGGTCCAGGATTCTTCCAGGTTATTTTTCCCCACTTTTTTCGGGTTGGAAAGAAGCTTCAGCGGCTCGAGCTGTAAGACTGCTCCCCCTAGCGTCCGACACCCTCAAAGGCTCTCGGCGACCTTCGAGAGGCCTGGCGGGCTAAGGCCCGCTACTTAAGTCTAAGGAGCCACCAATCAAGTTGTGCCCGCCTCTGCAGCACGGAGGCTGAAGCTCCCGGGCTCTCAGACCTGCCACTCCTCCTCGTCCTCCTCTCCCATTGGATCCCGGGAGACTGAAGCGCCGGGGAGGGTTGGGTCTTTGCTATCTTTTTTTTTTTTGCCAGGGCCAAATATGGCGCCCGTGGCCATGCTAGAGATGCAGCATGAAGCTGCAGTTCTGCCATCACTCAAGATGGCTGCCCCCATCAAGATGACCGGGGTGTGCCGGGAGGAAAGGGGCAGCTGGACGGTCTGAGATGGTAAGGATTCCTGCTCCCTTGTGGGTCTGGTCTTGGGGCCTGGAAATGAAAAGTGGAGAGGCACGGCAGCTAGGTGCGGTGTGCCATCGAGGCTGGGATTACACAGATTGAGAAAGGACAGAGGGGTGACAGGTGGGGTGACGGATCAAAGATCTGGCGGGAGTGTCCCTGGGGTTCATCCTTCCCTGTTGCTGCTCGTTCATTCTACTGTTCCTTTTCCAGGTCTAGCGTCGAACCATGTGGAAGTTTCTGGGACTGGGGAACCAGAGGATGAAGGGTGGCACCCGGGGTGGATAGAGGGTGCAATAGCTTCTTTTCCCAGGCTAGCCCTCCCTCCCTGTCCTCTGGGCTAAAATGGGGAACACATTGGGCCTGGCACCGCTGGGAACTTTGCCCCGCCGGAGCCCCCGCCGAGAGGAACCTCTGCCCAACCCTGGGAGCTTTGATGAGCTGCACCGACTGTGCAAAGGTGAGACGTTGGCATTCGGGTGTGTAAAACTGAAGGGCCAGAAGAGGGGAAGGTCCTGAACGCAGGTGTCCATGAGTGGGAACGGAGAAGGAAGGGAAGCTCGCAGCTGGGGCATGCGGCCGCAGGGAGGCTCAGGTGCTCAAGTCCAGTGGAACGTTTTCCTTGCTGGACTTGAAAGGAGGTCATGCCTCCAGAGTGCTTCCTGTGGGGCTGAAAGGAGAGACGACCTTCCGGGATAGGCGTTCTTGTCTGTGGCTGTTCCATCCCTCTCCTCCCCCTCCAGATGTATTCCCAGCACAGATGGAGGGAGTGAAGCTCGTTGTCAACAAGGTGCTGAGCAGCCATTTCCAGGTGCCCCATTTCTTCGGCCTCTCCTTACGTTCCTCCCTGCCCACATCCCTGGGTCCTTGTCTCCTGTCTCTCCTAGTCCAGCCTTGGCCAGGCTGTGTGGGACGAATGAGGAGGACATGAGGTCCTCTCTAGCCTCCTGACCTCCCTTGCCTATGGGACTTGCTGCCTGGTGACTCTGCATAGACTGGACTATTTGGGATTCTCCTCTGGATGGGGGAGAGGATGCAGGGTGGCTGAGGGGTGCGCATGGAACTGGCAGACACTCTCCTCATGGGCTCCTCTCTCCTCAGGTGGCTCACACAGTGCACATGAGTGCCCTGGGTTTGCCAGGCTATCACCTCCATGCAGCCTACGCAGGGGACTGGCAGCTTAGCCCGACGGAGGTGAGGGCCCTCCACACACGAGAAAGCTCCCTGATTGTCTGTTTGGGACTCAGGCCTTGAGGAAAAAGAAATGTGTGTGTTTGTGTGTGTGTGCGTGCGCGCACGCAAGGATGGGAAATGTCTTCTGAATGGGAGAATTGCAGAAATACTTAACCTGAAGTGCCAAGAGTTTGGATTTGTGTTTCCACCAGGGGGCGCTGGATACTACGACCGAAATCCTATAGTATTTGGGTTTAGGCTGAATGATGCCCCATAGACACACTTCAGCCTCTCTTTCTCTACTCTTCAACAGGTGTTCCCCACTGTGGTAGGGGATATGGACAGCAGTGGCAGCCTCAACGCCCAGGTCCTGCTTCTCTTGGCAGAGCGGCTCCGAGCTAAGGCTGTCTTCCAGGTGACCCCCAGTTCCTGCTTCCAACCTCGAAGGCCCTCCCTCCTCCTCCAGGAGTGTGTTGCCCTGGAGGACCCAGGGGAGGAATTGAGAGGCCACGATGACCCCAGAGAGGGAGGGCCACTTGACTTGTTGCTCTTCCACCCAGACTCAACAGGCCAAGTTCCTGACATGGCAGTTTGATGGCGAGTATCGGGGGGATGACTACACCGCCACTCTGACCCTGGGAAATCCTGACCTGATTGGGGAGTCGGGTAAGCCACCAGGATTATCTTCCCTGTCCACTTGCTAGTGTGGCTACACCTTACTGTCTTTCTGTTTGGCTTAGAGATTAGAAAAGGAACGTTCCACAGGCAGCCTGGGGTTGTTGGTGTGAGGGTTTGGCTTGGACTGTTGTCTCTGTGTGGCTGACATCCTGTGTCTCCCCACTCCCCTCCGCAGTGATCATGGTCGCTCACTTCCTGCAGAGCCTCACTCATCGGCTGGTGCTGGGAGGAGAGCTGGTCTACCACCGGCGGCCGGGAGAAGAGGGGGCCATCTTGACCCTGGCTGGGAAGTACTCAGGTACAGGGCGAAGTACGGTGGGCAAGGGCAGGGGTGTGTCTGGGCTTTGCCTGTGTCCTCCACTGACACCCGTGTCTCCTTGTGCTTGGGTTTTTTTAACAGCTCTCCACTGGGTGGCTACATTGAATGTGGGTTCAGGTGGGGCCCATGCAAGTTATTACCACAAAGCGAATGAACAGGTGAGGCTGCGGCTCTCCCCTTCTCGCCCCAGCAAGTCAGTCATGAACCTCTGCCCCCTCTGGACCACTCTGGGTCCTGCTACCTTGGATTTGTCCTGCCTACACTACGTGCCTGCCTGCCTCAGTTGCCGCCATCCCTGTAGGGACCCTGCTGCTCTCATGAGGCCGATCCCGTCTCCTCCTTGCCTCTGACCTTCAGGTGCAGGTTGGAGTGGAGTTTGAGGCAAACACAAGGCTCCAAGACACAACCTTCTCCTTTGGTTACCACCTGACCCTGCCCCAGGCCAACATGGTGTTTAGAGGTGAGGGTTACCGTGATGACCTTGGCTTCTGGAAGGGATTGGGGCTTCTGGAAGGGAGGGATTCTGTAGTTCCGCTGTCTCTTGCAAGCCCTGCGATGTCATCGGGCTGGTGTTCTCTCCCCTGCCAGGCTTGGTGGACAGTAACTGGTGCGTAGGTGCCGTGCTGCAGAAGAAGCTGCCCCCGCTGCCCGTCACCCTGGCCCTCGGAGCCTTCCTCAATCACTGGCGCAACAGGTTCCACTGTGGCTTCAGTATCACCGTGGGCTGAGCCTGACCCTGAGCCGGCCCCATGACAGCTGGAACCTCTGGGGCAGGTGCCCTATGGCTCAAGACAAGGCCCCCTCTCCAGAGCCCGCCTTGCTGGGCTGCCTCTCGATGCCCGGAGCAGAGTGGGGCGGGGTCCGTGCCCTCCTCAGCACCGGGGCAGCTGAGGAGCCAGTGGTTTGAGGCTTTCCTCTTGGCCACCAGCTGCACTGTGATATTCCCCATGCTCTTGTGGCTCTGGACTGAAGGAACAAGGATGAAGAGGAGTGTCCGACTGAATCCCACCCCGCTCCGTTCTTCATTTCCCTGCTTTCATCAGCTTGTCACCCTTTCCTCTTCCGAGCAGCAATGTCTGCATGGGATTAGCCCTGTCTTTTTCACCCCAGAGTGTCCTGAGGCAGGGGGAGTGGGGCTGGGACCTGCCCTTTCCCAGGAGGCGCTTTCTTCCTAGTTCAAAGGCTCACTCCTTCCCTACTTTCTCTGTTCCCAGAGAGCATCCTGAGCTCTGTGGTCACCCTGCTCCCCCAGGACCACAGCAAGAGGCAGTTACCACTTTAGTCTTTCATTGCACCCCCTGGGCTCCCTTTCTGCCGGCCCCAGCTGCGTTCCCTTGGCAGTCCAGGGTGTGCAGGTGGGGCTGGGGAGGGCACCGAGCCCGGCCTCAGCTGCAGATCTCCTGAAGCAGCGGCATCAAGGCCCACAGTCCCTGGATGTGCTGTATCTGGTACCGGTACGCATTGTTGATGCTGCGAAGCTCGACCAACAGTCCCAGCAGCTTCGGGTACAGAAACCTTTGGGAGAAGCAGTGGGGTGATCAGGGAAAGAAGAGCAAAATGAGGCAACCCAGAGTTCCGTTGTCCTAAAGCCCTATTCCCCAAACTGTCTCCCGAGCCCCCTGCCCGGTGAAGCTGGGTCTGAACGTTAGGGGAGCTCATGCTCTGATGTGACAAATTCATCCAAGATTACGAAGGTCCCCAAGGGGCCTCTCTTCGACAGTGTTGGTTTTTCCTGAGGGCCAAATGTGGCGAGAGTCCCAGACTTCACAGGAATTTCTGTTGCATGGAATCTGAGGGTCTGGTCTTCTAGAACATGCTCTAGGAGGTGGCTGTGTTCCAGGGTAAAAAGCATCCCTTTCTGGCCAAATTGACTCATTGAGGAATGCTCCAGAGCAAAGCAGCATGTTCCTCAGGTGGACCATGGACTACGGAGCTGGGGAATGGTTTGTGACTGAGAGAGCCAATCACAACTTCAAGGGGAATGAAGAAGGAGTTGGCCTCCTGGAGAGGGGAGGAAGGACCAAGGCAAAAAGTCTGGCTGCTCAGGGTCTTTAGAAGTCGTGTTAGTCTGGAGTAGGGGTGGGGAGGCGACAGATGCCATCAGTCTCAGGAATGCGGTCACGTGAAGCCTGTGAACTATTTTGCATCTCTACTGAATAAAAAACAAATCTGGATAAAGTGAAACCAGTCAGCAGTAATGCTGGAACTGTGTGGGATGGGGTTGCCTAGAGGGAAGGGCTAGAACCCAAGGGACTTGGTTTCCCAAAGAAAAAGGGGTTGAAAAATGCTTCTCCCAAGCTGAGCAATCCCTCTAACCCTTGGTGTGAGCTCCAAGCCCCAGGGCTCCCGCCGTACCTATCCCGAGGCTGCGGCTGCTGGCCTTTGATGTAGCTGTCCAGAGTCAAGGCCATCTCTTCTTGCAGCTGATTAATCTCTTCTCTCTGAGTAATTCCAGGTCGGTCTGCAAGATAGAGAGCTGGGAAGACCAGGTAGTGGGATAGGGCAGTGGCGGGCATGCCCAGCCCATCGGAAGCCAAGGCTGGTACAGATCCCATGTGGGATGTAAAAGCTGGAAGGCCTAGGACAGATGTGGCTGAGGAGCCGAGCGTGGGCAAGGGCGGTGGAGCCATGGGTTCTGGGCTTTCAGAAACACTCACCAGGAGAGAAGAGCGCCATGGCAGCCATGAGCACATACTCGGGCTCCTGCAGCTGGAGTCGTCGCAGCGTCCCGTGGAAGCGAAAGAGCAACTCCAAGAACTCCTCCTGGAAGCCCACTATGGGAGACACCAGACTTAAGAACCTCCGGGCCCCCTCCCCACATCCCACACCGCACAGACACCTGCCTCCGGCTGCTCACAGTGGGCTCCATCTTCCATTGTGTAGCGAAGAGGTCCACAGAAGAAGTTTTGTGTTTGGAGACAGAAAGTGGTGTTGAGTATGATGTGACAGATTTCCACGGCAGCTCCCTTGAGGAGGTAGATCTGGTCCTCTATGAGCAGGGATCTGTTGGAGGTGGCAAACAAAGGCATTTGAGCCTCAAACCTGGGTTTCACAGAAGGAGAGCGATACCCACCTTCAACCTGCACCCTTACAAGCAAAGTGGGGCATGCAAGACCTGTGGCTGGGGAAGGCTGAGGAGTATGTGTGAGTCCGGGCAGTGGCTTAGAGTAGGGGTATGCAATATCCCGAACCATTGACTCCCTGAACAGTAACAGGTGGCCACTCACCGGAATAGGGGCAGATCCTTGGTGAATTTGATGATTTGCTGCACCATGTAAGTGTTGATATCCGCAAAGTGTGTTAGCAAAGGCAGTGCAGGGACCAGGGTGGGCGAGGGCTGGTGGTGGATGAATAGATACGCTGGAGGCTGTGGAAACGTGAGCATGAGCCAGAGGCCCCTGTCACTGGGTTCACCCATCAGCCCTTCTTGTGGGAGGCTTCCTTGCTGAGGAACCTGCCCAGCCTGGGGTTCTGCCAAAGGCCTGTCCACTGTGCTGGCATGAGGCACACATCCTACTCCCTCAGGCCAACCCCTCTGGACACCCTTTTGGGCATTGTATTCCAAATCCTGTACGTGCTCACCTTGAAATGCACAAATTGTTCAAACATGGTGCCCATGTGGCGGGTATGGGCCCCCAGGAGTATCTGGACCAGTTCTTTCTGCTCCTTACTCAGCTGCACAGGTGTTTGCTGGGCCCGCCGCTGGGCCTGCTTTGCTCTCCGCAAGGCCAGGGCTTCGGCTGACATTATCACTGTGCCAGGGGAGACAAGATGGAGCTGTTGATCTAGCACCTCTGCCACTCCCTGAAGGTGGGGGGATCCTGCCTTGCACAGTGAAGGATGTGGGAAGGGATGGGAGTTCCCAAGGCTGCTTTGGGCTTAGCTGGAGTCTCACAGGTTCCAGGTGGCAGAGCACTCACTGCGCGACTCGCTGTGAGGCACTGCAGCAAAGCTGTGCACCATGGGAGAGAAGGGAAGGCTGCCCAATAAAGCAGCAAAGGCGTTAAGAGATGCTAGCTTCCCAGAGGAGCACTGTGGAGGGTCTTGGTAACTAGAGCATCATCCAGTGCTGTTTACATAGCACGATTTCAAGGATTCCCAGATTAAATCTCACCGGGTGAAATAATTCCATGGTAGACAGGACAAGTCTGAATTTCATATTTTTTTTTCTAGAAACATAAAGAAGCTTAGATTAAAGGGACAGGTCCACAATCACAAAACAAGTTGATGGGGACTGAATTCAAATGTCTGAATTCAATGTCTGCAGTTTCACTGCTTCATGCTGAAAAGTAGTGTGATGGCATGAAAAAAGCAAGAGTTTGGGAGTCAGACAAAGTTTGAGTACAATAACTTTTTAGCTGAATGAAGCTGGGCAGGTTCTCTGAACTCCAGCTACATTGTCTATTGGCAGCCTAATCTAGTTGTCTGGCATAAAGCATTTATCAATCCAATCATTGTTAGGTAAAGTAGGTAAAAGGCACCATACTTCAGAGAGAGAAGGCAAGCAAACCACTTGGCTATCTAGAGGCAGGGCAATTAGGACTGAAAGGTGCAAAATTTCTGGGGAAGTGATTGGTTCGAGGATGGCTTTGAAATCAATGTAGGTAAAATGGGTTGATCAAGGGGGAATAGTGGGAAATAATCCAAGGTGTAGGAGTTAGACCAACAAGATTGCGCATTTGAAGAGCCCCTGGAAGCCATTGGAGATTTTGAGCAGAGTAGTGACGTTATCCAGTGAACTCACTAAGTGTTTGCCTGCTATGCGGACAATGTACTAACTGGGAGCAATGACAAAGCAGAGAGACACAGCCTATGGATTCTTGGGGTAATGGGGAGCCAACTCACTGTCTTTTCGCATGCCAGCAGCGAGACACTTGTGCAACCTGCAGGCTGGGCAATGGCGCCTCTGGGCCCTGCTAACCTCACAGCTTCCAGCAAAGGGGCAGGTGAGACCAGGATGTTTGTTGACGGTTCGTCTGTGAGAAACAGAGATGCTGTTAGGGTGTTGGGTGGCAGAGTGAACAGGTGGCAATCTGGCGAGATGAACTTGTCTGAGCTGTGCCCAGAGTCCCTGGCGAGGCTAGCATTTCCACGGGGGCACAGGATCACTGAGGAAAGCCTAGTTGATGTAGGACTAGCTAAACATTGGAACCCATGTTCTCTGGTATTGTGTTACCAGTTCATACAGTGTTGTGGTTGGCAAAGTTAGGGTGCTGGCCACAGGAATAATGTAGCTGCCCAAGCTTGGGCATGTATCAGGGTTTAAAGTCTAACTGACGGGCAGTTTGGGGTGATTTCCAATGAGATTAGGTTCTTACCTGAAGAAACCCTTGCAGCCTTCACAAGTCAAGGCGTGGAAATGGTAGCCCGTGGCTCGGTCACCACATACCACACAGTTCCTTGGTTCATCTTCCCCACTGAACATGACTACCTCAGGAACCTGAGTGTAGGCAGAGCTAGTGGTCAGTTCTGGGTCATCCTTGATCCTGTTCTCCTTTCTGTAAAGTCCTTTCTGGAGGCTTCAGTGGACCAAATCCCCAGCAGCACCTGTATTTCATAGGCCCTGGTCCCCAAAGGGTTTCTTACCCACTCCTCGTAAGCAGCTTCCACCTGCAGACCACAGCAAGGACGTGAGATGCCTCTCCCAGAACTGCCACGTTTACTCTGCTTTCCTTTTGATCTCAGCAGCAGCCAGCAATTAGAGTTAGGGATTGTGGCTTTCGGTACCTGAACAAAAGAGGCTTTGGTTGTGTGTGGCTGCCAGTTCTTCTTAGTGACTGCATAGTAGGGTACAGACTCTGGACCCGGGGCAAAGGCCTGGGTAGGAGGTTTCTTCCAGCGTGCCCACAATACTGATTGGTGGCACATGGGGAGGAACTTGGTGGGTGGGGACCTCATAATATCCTGATAGAAGTTGCTTTTTTATCAGACTCAAAAGCTAATTTGAATATTTTGGGGATGGATAAAATGTTATCAGACTCATGACCATCTTCCCTACTGCTGAGTTTTAGGCTGGATCTGCAGCTATTTCTATCTATGGATTCTAGACAAGCAGAGAAAGAGCTATTTCACATGCACTGTGCCAAGAGCAAAGGGATAGGTCTAACAATTACATTAGGCTCTCAAAAAGAAATTTCTTCAAGAGAGACTGGAGCCTATGGGTGGATACTTGATCTTTGGGCTAAGATGCCTGCCTCCTATATCCTGGTTTAATTTCAACTGCCTGCCACCCAAGTGGGACATTCAGATTGAGGTTTTTTTTTTTTTTCTTTTGAGGTTGTGTCCTGTCATCACAGATTGTTGATTTTCAGCTGTTTATTTCAGTATTTTTCTTACTAGACTTTTTACTGGGCAATGTCACTGCAGACCATTATTGTGGCTTACGGACCACAAACAGGACACACTCATAGTAGTATTTCATCATCGAGAGATCATTCACAGTATATGTTGACAAGACAGATTCCTTTTCCACCTCTACTTGGAATCCATACTGCAGAGCAACGTTTTTTATGTCCTCATAGCTCAATTCTATGGAAAGCTCATTTGCCAAATTTTCAAAGTGGTACAAAAGAGGTCCTAAATTTATCCAAATTCCACCTGGCTTGAGTATTTTCCATATTGTATCGATATAATCAATCACATTGTGAGCTGTGTCGATGAAGAAACAGGTAGCAGTGCAGTCCCAAGTATTGCATTCTGAATAGATCTCCTGAAAATCTCCTGCAGTCATGGAAAAGTTGGACCCAGGAGGAAGGCCGTGCGGGTCCACGTCAGGGAAGAAGATGGGTCGGATCTGGTCAGCTGACCTCCGGCTATTGCTGAACTGATGGATCCAGGGGTAAAGTTTGTATTTGTTAATTTCAAAGCATCTGTTGAGTACAAAGTTGGAAGAAAACAGCGTGAAAAAGCTCTACTCGTTTCCTTGACAAGCGTAGCTGAGCATGGCTATCTCTCAGCTTCCGACTTTCGCCTGGCCCACCTCTAATTGTTGTGGTAGTTTGGAAAGTCAAGCAGTGGATAGGGGCATCGCTGCCTCTCTAACAGAACTACTTCATAATAAAGAGCCCTGTGCAAAGAGGGAAGCCTATTTCCATACTAAGGAGAGCTGAGAATTAAATCAGAATAACCTCTAATAAATTTCTAGTACTCACCACAGCCAGGGCTAGGCCAGGCTGAAATCAGGAGCCAGGAGCTCAGTCAAGGGTGGGAGGGATTTGTTATCTTGAGCCATCACCTGTTCTCTCCCAGGTTGTGCAATCGACAGCAGAACTGAGACTTGGACTCAAACTCATGCACCTTGCTGTGGAATGTGGACATCTTGAAAAGCATCTTTTTTTTTTTTAAGATTCATTTATTTTTATTGGAAAGTTAGATCGACAGAGAGGAGATACAGAGAGAAAGATCTTCCCTCTACTAGGCGGTAGGCGGCTGCAATGGCCAGAGCTGAGCCGATCTGAAGTCAGGAACTAGGAAGCTTCTTCTGGGTCTCCCACACAAGTGCAGGGTCCCAAGCCTTTGGACCATCCTTGATTGCTTTCCTAGGCCACAAGCAGGGAGCTGGATGGGAAGTGGAGCAGCCAGGATTAACACTGGCATCCATATGGGATCCTAGCTCATGCAAGGCGAGGACTTCAGCCACTAGGCTACCATGCCAGGCCCTTTGACAAGTACCTTAACCACTGGATCAAACGCCTGCTTACTGCAACTCACAGCAGCATAAACAAGGTTGGACAGGGAGGCAGGCAATGCACGATGAAAAAAAAAATTTTTTTTAAATGAGACAGTCACAAGATGAAGATTATAAAAGTAGATGGTCAGCAGGAAGCCCCCTTATTAAGGAAGGAAGCTGACCCAGAAGGCTCACTGTCTTTAACCTTGCACTGAACTGCTCAGTGAGTCAAATTACAGGAATTAATGTGGTACAAACTTGGATAGGCACGCCCCATATTCACGCTAATCAGTCAATGCGTGATGATCAAGAAGCAACATCGTGACCCAAATACAGCATCAGTACAGGAGTGTCTCAAGGATATTCTCAAGACACACAGTTCTGTAGTCTTGGACCACTGCCCGACCACAGACCTTTGCCAGCAGGCCTGACCTTGGTCGCAGACAATTGCTCATAGACTTCAGTCCTAGCCTCCAGTGATACCAGTCTGTGATCTCAAGATTTCAGACACGGTCCATCTTACCTTTCTTGATAAGTCAAGCTGTGCTTTGCAAACTGCCTATGACACTCACACCATAGATGCTCAATGACTTTTGAACACCCTTCCCCCCTCAAATGATGTACCTAGTATTGTCTGGAGTTAAGATGAGGACATCCAATGAATAAGTATAAGAAACAGAAATACAGGTCTTCCCTAGGATGGTAGGATTGTTTAGGACTTTGTTTCATTGAAAGATATTTTTGTAAATATGTATGTGTATGTGTTCTCCCAACATCTACGAACTGAAAAGTTATTCCAAAAGCTGTTTGAGGACTGGCCCCACGGCATAGTAGGTTAAACTTCCACCTGCAGTGCCAAATCCCATATGGGCTCTGGTTCAAGTCCTGGATGCTACACTTCTTACTCAGCTCTCTGATAAAGGCCTGGGAAAGCAGCAAAAAGATGGTCCAAGCATAGGGCCCTTGTACCCGTGTGGGAGATCCAGAAGAAGACCCTGGCTCTCAGCTTTGGACCAGCCCAGCCCCAACTGTTGTGGCCATTTGAGGAGTGAACCAAGGGATGGAAGATCCTTCTTTTTGTCCATCCTTCTCACTCTATAAATCTGACTTTTGTTGAGAGCTAAGGAGTTGATTAGCATTTGTTAAGCTTGGCTCCTGCAGGAAGTGGGCTTGGAGGCTAGTGGTACCTTGTCTGTCAGACTCATTAGCATCCGATTGTTCTGCTAGAGGCTTGGGGGAAAAGTATATATGACTGAATAAAGGGAGGCCAGAGAGAGACCTCTTCCACCACTACTGGTCTCCTGTCGGTGTCTGATTCCCTGACCCTCTCCGTGTCCATGCTACTGGCTCAGCTGGCCGGAACAACTTTGAAATAAAAATACATAAATCCTTTAAAAAGGAAGTTATTTGGGTGTTTTGATGATTGGCAGTTTCTTGGATAAAACTCATATGTTGGAAGAGTTTGACCCTACACATGCTAGAATGAAGTGAAAGTTTGCCTTCCAATGTGAAAGGTTTTCCTTCCTGCAGATTTCCCAGTGTGTTTGCTATTTCTGCACCATGCAGTCTTTTTCGACTAGATATTTACTTTATTTTTTCTCCTTTTCCTTACTGTTGTCTTTCACTTGTTGAATTAAATTATAATTTTTTTTAAAAGTGAATTAAAAGGCCCAAATTGAAATCAGAATTATAAACACCACACACACACACACACACACACACACACATACACACGTGGTGGGGAGAGGAGAGAAAAAGAAAGTGAATTTAAAAGGACCTTGTGAGACTGGCATAGGGGCATAATAAGCTAACCCTCAGAATGCAACACAGTGCCCCGTATGGGTGCTGGTTTGTGTTTCAGATGCTCCACTTTTTCTTTTTAATTGTTTTATTTTGGTAATCTTTACATGGTTGATTAGGGCACAAAGGGTCAAGGGCTATAGGAAAGTGGGTAAGATCATTGTTTCCACATTTTTTTTCTGTGTCTGGGGTAAGGAGGGAGATAAAAGGAGAAGCCCCTCCAGCCTCCCACCCATCCCAGGTCCCCGGTGTGGGGCATACTTCGAGGGTCTTGCACAAGTGGTTTTGCTAGTTCAACAGTTCTGAATGCTGCCAATCTCGTCATTCCAAGCACAATGAAATCTCTCCAGAATCTACTGGCTGACATAGTTCACCTTAGAGTCTCTGCCCATATGTTCACTGCCAGCACATGGCTGGGTTAGTTGATTGATTCGTTCTGTCCTCTGTTGTGGTACCAAGTGTCCTCTGCATGTTCCAATGGACTGCCACGTCCTCCATGTGCACCTGGATATGCTGTCCATTGTTCTGTCACATGCACTCCATGATCAGACCATAGAACCTGCACTTCTTTCATGGTTCAGGTTCTGAGATCAGCAGTTCAGTTAGAGGGTCTGGCACAGTCTGTCACCTCAATCAGCTTTTGCACGTTTGTGGTTGCAATTGCTAGGTCAGTTCTCTTTCTAGCTCTGTCTTCTACACGAATCAATGGGTGTTGTAGTCCAGCTCGATCCTGCCCACCACACATTTGGCTACACAAACCAGTGGGAGCTGCAGCCTAGTTGGGGCAATTCCCAATAACCCCTACCAGGCCCACCCCCTGCCCTGGTCCCTGTGCTTGCCAGTATGTATAGCAGACTGGTCCAGTCTGTTCCACATATCCCATTCAGCTCTCATGTCAATGGGCATTGAAGCCTAGCTCAACCCAACCAGCCCTACTATCCAGCCCACACACATACTGGCAGGTGCCTTTCTGTCCATACACCGCTGCCCCATTCTGGTTTTTATGCTCTCCAGTGGAAGTGGTGACCCCAGAGGGAGCTGCCCACTATTTCCCTCCTGGGCTCACTCCCACATCATGCACTCTGCAGGTGGTTCCACAGTTTAACTCGACAGAATTAGCCCCCTGTGCCAGCATCTGCAGCTGATGCTGTGGCAAAGCCCATCCAACCCTCACCCACTCTGATTTATGCTTACACCAGTAGGAACAGTCAGCCCAACCTGGCTTTGCCCTGATCTAGCTCACATGAGGCTCACAGGTGTTGTCCGGCTGCTCCACTTTTCATTCCGCTCCCTGCTTATGGCCTGGAAAAGCAGCAGATGATGGCCCAAGTGCTTGGACCCATAATAGCCACATGGGAGACCTAGAACAACCTCCTGGCTCCTTACTTTGGCCTGGGCAAGCTATAGCAATTGTGGTCATTTGGAGAGTGAATCAGTGGATAGAAGTGCTCTCTCGGCCTCTCCTTCTCTCTCTCTGTAAATCTGCTTTTCAGAAAATGTTAATTGAGCCAGGCAAGATAGCTCAGTGGCTAAATTGTCACTTTGCATGCGCTGTGATCTTATATGGGTTCCAGCTTGTGTTCCTGCTGCTTCACTTCTCTTCCAACTTCCTCTTTGTGCCTGGGAAAGCAGTGGAAGGTGGCCCAAAGTTTGGAACCCTGCACCCACGTGGGAGACCTGGAGAAAACTGGTTTCTGGCTTCTAGCTTCAGATCAGCTCTGCTCTGGCTGTTGCATCCATTTGGGGAGTGAACTAGTGGATGGAAGATCTTTCTCTCTGTCTCTTCTTTTCTGTGTAAATCTGCCTTTCCAATAAAAAATAAGTAACTCTTGAAAAATGAATTTTCATAAAAATTTAAAAGGACCTTGCTTAGGTTTCTGGAGTGAGCTAATGAAACCCTAAATCTCAATATCCAATTATGTGTAACTTTGCATGTTTTTAAATTTAAATTTATTCCTCCTGCTTAAGGCAACTGCATAGGTTGCTTTGTACCTGGGTAAGTGTTACACTATTGGATAAAAAGCAGCTAATTCCTAGTGGACACTCTGGGTCTGGCTAATGTCAAATTTGTGTTAACTAAACCAGTATGCTAACATAAGTCACCTATTCTGTTTATTTATGTATTTACTTTAAAAATATGTGGGGGGATTTGGCACTGTGGGCCCCCAGCTTGGGCCAGCCACGTGAGTGCCATTTGATGCTGGGCATCCCATACGCTCTCAGGCCCAGGGATGTGGATTGACCAGGGCAAGGGGCAAGGGGATGTGTGGGAGTGAGGATTGCTGAGGGAATAAGTTACAGGTGAGGAATGACTTCTGAGGGTCTTCCACTGACAAGGCCACTATACTTGCTGACCATGAAATGCAGGTGTCAGAACTGGGCCTCCTCAGTGGCTTAGATGGAGCAGTGGATGGATACCCAGGTGTACATGGAGGATATGGCAGTCCATTGGGACCTGCAGAGGATATCTAGTACCATTGCTGAGGATAGAGGGCAGAACAAATTGGTCAAC